ACTTTAGCAACACCCACAACACCAGCGAAATGCTTTTTATACTGCGCCGAGATCTCAGAAACCACCAAGGAGGCAGGGAAAGGCTGTGGGTGAATGCACTGATGGCGCTGGGGGAGTAATTGGCTTCTCGGGTGGATGAGCTCTGTCACCACCCCTGCTCTCGGTCACCCTGTGCTGTGTCCAGTAGTAATTTGCAGGGAGTTTGGAGTTGTTGGTTACTGTAGCTCTGAAAGACACCAAGCCGTCTCCTCTTTGCTATTTCACATTAAACTGAAAATTTTTGCAGCGGTTAGTGGAAGGCTTGTTGTGTTTCCCCATGTCCTCGTCCCCTGCATGTGTCGGAAGGTCGGTCCCTTGCCACCCATCTGCCACCCAAATACTAAGTTCTGGAAAAAAGCATGGGAAAATTTGTGGTGCAAATAGTATTTACTGATTAATTTTCCATTTCACTGGCATTTGAGACTGTTGGCTTTTTCCCCAAATTGTCTGTACACAGTCCCATTGAAACGCGCTGGTCTCTCGGGGGAAAGGAAGTTAAAGGTTCACAACTGCTTGACAGGCATCCTTGCACCATTAATGGGTACCAGGGAAAACACTATGCCAGCAAGGGGTTTTTCAGGGGTTTGGGCGAGTTGGGGGTTTTTTTGTTGTCTACATACAGGGGACTGCTCTCCATCCTTGCCTGAAAGTTGTAAAACTAGACAGGTCTGGGATTTGAATCGTAGCGTAGAGGAGCTGGCCGCACATCTGTACCACTCCAGCATCTCTTGCCGCAGTGAGATAGAATTCATCTCAGAACCACTGACATGTTTTACAATTCATTGTTTTCACTTAATGAGTTGCAGTAAACAGTGGTCAAGTGTGCTATTGCACTTCTGGCTTGCTAAGCTTGTTGTTAAGGCATTGCGGTACTTTTCCATGTTAGGTTCAGTTTCTTTGATTTGTTCAGTGGTCTTCCTAGACATACAGGACCTGATCTCCTAATGTGCTGCTGAGCAATCGCAGCATCAGTTGGAATACAGGGGACTTGCAGGTAGACAGCAGCATGACTGAATCTACAGTCCATGAAGTTCTTTCATTACGAATCCATCAAGGATTTTGCAGTTTGGTGAGTAACTTTGATGTTTGGGGAGCTTTAGGTGACATGCAAAATGTATTATTGCTTATTCAAATGTGATAGAAGGGAATAGACAGGAATAGAAATGCCGAGGATGCTTGGGCCACATCTGTCTTCCACATCCCGGTATCGACAGCGTGGAAATTGTAACAGTGGAGCTGTCAGTTGATACCACCTATCTGAAAACTGTTTAGTTATTCAAGGTGAAAGGCTGTGCAACTTAAATCCCTGTGAAACTTGTCCTTATGGATATAATATTGTATGGTACATGCTTCCTGCTTTCGGTGGGGCAGCTTTTATAGGAGGCTTTGCAACTTGCATGATATTTTTTGTTGTGGCTCTTAACACTGTGCCCCAGGCTCCACTAAATAGACAACCTCATTAAAAGAGAAATAGCGATAGTAAAGCAGTGACTTTCTCATGCCATCTAACTCACATATTTGACATGATTGCTGGACCCTCCAAGTACTTAATTGATTGACTTAATTGATTTAGTGGCACTGGAGGCTACAGCATGGAAATAAAGGGGCAAGATGAGGATAAGAGGTGAAAAAATTTATGATAGGTGCCAAGCAGCCTGAGGGAAATTAGAAATGCTACAGATCTCAAAGGCAGCTAAATCAATTCAGTGTGATGTACAGGGAGCAACCTGGGGGAAGAGGAGAAGCAGGGGATAGAATGAAGAAAAGGGGAGAAAATAAGGGCTAGTGGGGGAGACCCAAGTAAACTTAAGGGGAAGGGTGAAGACAGCAGCCTTGGTGACCGTGAGTATTTTGGACTTCTTTAACACCAGGAAAAAACTTTTTAGTGTATGAATAAAATATAATAATGACGTCATGTTTAGCCTAAAAGAAGGACTCGTGCATCATGAGGTTGTCTTAGTTACCCGGTTTGCAATTTTATCTGTGTTTGCATTTAAAATCCTCGATGTTTGCAACAGTGACTAAAGTCACAGGAGACCTAAAATGATTTGCAGGCTATGTACAGTGGACTTTTTTAACAACTGAAGCTTAAATGTTAAATTACTTTCTAATCTGTGCAATATTTAATTGACTGTATTGAACCATTATACAAATTAAGTCTTCTCTATAACTTATTCTGTCTTACTGCAGCCCTCCAAAACAATTTGATACCTCACTTATGAATTGGTAAATGGCTTGTAGCAGCACTCAGCAAAGATAGAGTAAAAACATCCAATAGTGTGTGATGGAATCCATCAGCATGGGCATATGGAGGTGTCATAAACATCCCTGAGTTATGAAATAATTATTTTATGTACTTCTGACCCACTAGAGACAGGATTAAGTCACGATAAAACCTTGAAGATGAAAAAAAAAGATGCTGGGGAGAAAGAGGGGCAGATCAGCTTGTGAATATTAACTGCTAAGCAGTGACCAGCAGTTCTGCTATAAGCAATTTTGTGTGGCATTTGTTTCCTTTCCTTTCAGGACTGTTCGTATCAAGTATCGAGGGGGTGGCTACATATGAGCAGTTATGAACGGAGGGATAACGATGCCATTTCTATTGGTTGGTCTCACTTTATGGGACAGATTAATCTATGCGAGTGCATCAGATGCAAATCTAATCAAAACGTGCAAAGAGTGTGTATTTATAGATAGCCTCAGTTGTAAGTCGCTGTTGGGTGGCCAGATGAGATGGTGTTTCTCCTTGTCCTGTCCCTTCTGCTGTCCTTTACTCTAGTGCACGTCTTGCTGCTGTGAAGGGCAATGCTGGGTACTGGCCAGGCTGCGTCCATAAAACAAAGATTTACAGAAAGGATGCAGTTCTGATCTTGCATTTTATGGCGGTAAATCTCTCCTGCCTGCAACTGGAGTCTCATTTCTGCTTTGCAAGAGCAAGGAATCAGGCACTCGTTGAATAATATTTAGAATAGAGTGTTGGAATATGTAGAAAGGACACATTAGATGAATTGAGGGCTGTGAAAACGCAGGTTCCGAGGAGTGTTGGTATCTACATTTGAGTACAGATGTGTGTATGCAACATTGCATTTCACGTGTGTGTTCCAACTCGGTATCCCTCAAACAAATGAAAAACTCTGCTAAACACTCCATACAGTAAAATATGTAAAAGTATAATGTTGCAGTCACCTTTACTTAATTTGTACTTCTATTGATGCAGTATGTAAAATACCATAACCATTAAAAATGTAATGATTTTCAAACAGTTAATGAGGATTCCCAAATAAATTGGAGTGTCTCCATCTGCTGTCTTGCACTGTGGGTAATACTTTTCCATGGTAGAATGATCTTCAAATTTAATTCCACGAGGAAAGAATCTGATCACAGTTTAATTTCAGTGCAAAACGCTGTCTTGCAATCAATAAAGCAATGTCAAAGAACTTTGATTTAATAGGAGCCAGAGATAACGTTCCCTGTCATATGCAGAATGGAGAGATGGGAACATTTAATTTCATTGTAACAGATAGCATGCAACTTGGTTTTCAGAAAAACCTAATAAATCAATATCCCTGTATTATCTAAGTAAGATCCCATCATTAATTTTAAACGCTTAACACGTTGGGAGAGTCTGAAGTGCACCTTCAGCTTAGCCACTTTCAGCATGAAGTCAATGGCAACACTTCCATTTTCCTACGAGCAAGCAATCTTGATCTTGGGAAGTTAGGAGCCTTTTACTGCGAAATGAAAATGAAACATGTCCAGTCTTTTGTTTTATGTGTAGTCATCTGTCTCTTGCATGCTGCCTCTCCTTTTAAGTTTCAATCGGTGTTCTACAAAAGCCTCATCACTTGTCACTTGCCCTGCACGCCCTCAGCCTTTTCACTTTTACACACACACATCCTCTCCGGTTTTGAATTTTAAAATGGTTTTTTTAAACCCTAAAAATAACTGGTTGTTTAGAGATTGCCTGGATACCATGCTGGTTTTCAAAATGTGCTTTTCTCAAACCCAGCAGGGATCTGGACCACAAAAGAATTCTTTGTGAGGCTTTGCCTGCTCTCAGAAATAGCATTATCCCTAGATGATATAAGAGCAGGTCAATGTATCAGAAGGTAGAAATTCAAACTAATAGGTTGGTTTAGATAAACTTTTCATGGACGTTATTCTAAGTAGAAATACTTAAGTATTACTTTGGTAATAGAATACTATTTAGGCCAAAGAGTGAAAGATTCTGGCACTCCAGGACATGCTTATAGGAGTCTCAGATTCATGTCCTGGCTCTGGGGAGAGTTTTACTCATCCCTGTAAAACAAAGTTGAGTCTTTTTATTATTTCAGTTAACCAAAGTGGGATTTTAAATAAAATGTGAATTTTTGCATTTAGCATTGATTTCAAGATGAATAATTGCATTTCCATTAATTTTCTGGGGAAGATAAATTTTTGGAGTTCTGTTGCTGCTTTAAATGAAATATCACTCGCTGACTGATGCCGAGTGTTGCAGAGAGAAAGCAAGACTGGTGCCGATTCTTGAGAGATTGGATATCTCAGCTGTATCTCTGCAGATCAGCCTGTCCTCAGAGTCACCCTGTATGAAGCTACAAGTAGCTGCTGCTGCTGCTTTTATACACCTACAAATACTGATTCTGTACCTAGGATGCTGTGTAGGTAGTAACTAGGTAACACGATATTTTCTGTTGAATTATATCTCACCAAACCGTACCAAGAAAACTCTTCAATTGAATCTTTTAGTCAAATTATTAAAGCAAGTCAAGTATGGCTAGGTTTTGAAAAGAGAATAGGCTTAAAGAGTTCGGGTGTTAATTGATTTTGATACCAGGGTATGTTTGCTTGTTTTAATTCCGTAGGTGTATTGAGATCGAGGTAAAGCACTGATGAAAGAGAAATTATATTGCTTTTTAATGGACCATTTTGATGGATATTTTTTACTGTATTTTTTTTAATAGCTATTACAGCACCACCATGCAGTTCATGAAATTTCCTACATCGCAAAGGATATCACAGACCATCGAGCATTTGGATATGTGTGTGGAAAGGAGGGAAATCATAGATTTGTGGCAATAAAAACAGCCCAGGCAGTAAGTATCAAATCACTGTCATTCTCTACAGTATAACTTAGTAGAAAAGCTCTGTTCATAAGAAGCTGTTTAAGAGGCCAATCTTGTGTTGGTTTTGATTGTACTAGACTTGTCACAAGTGTCTGCTTAGATGTTCTTAAATAGCAAATTAATGAAACCAGCTTGGGAAAAAGCGAATGTATTTCACTATTTCTGATTTTTCATGATGTGTTTTTTTTATAATTAGTTATAGTTTTCCTTTCTAACTGAACTAGACTGGATACAGATAAGTTCGGTTGTATTCCTGTATTCATCTAAGCAGAAAGTGATAGATACCAAATGGCTTCTTTGCATATAGTCTACCATAATTCCATTGGATGAGCAACCACAAATAACTATACCTTTATATTCATATATATGCCTTTTATATTCATAATTATAATTAACTTGCAAATATGGTTAGTTCGATAGAAATTAACCCAAGCCTGGATGCTAAGGTAGAAATTAATTCTGTATTAAGTTCTCTCCAATTGTGGAGATGCTATAACGGCTCTGTCAGCAGGATGGGATAAGAGGTGTATATTTTCCCATGTAGAAACTTTCCTTCCTGTTGTTGTTTCTATAGGCTGAACCTGTAATTCTGGACTTGCGAGACCTGTTTCAGCTCATCTATGAACTGAAACAAAGGGAAGAAATGGAAAAAAAGGCACAAAAGGACAAACAGTGTGAACAAGCGGTATACCAGGTACACGCATAAGCTTAGACTACTGCCAAGAAAAGTATGGTTTGAAGTATCCCCCAAAGTTGCTCCAGAGAGGCACTGAGCATCCTCAGCATTTCTTAACAGCAATGGGTTTGAACTGTGCTAGCTTCAAATGGACAAATATGAACCTAACAGTCATCGTGAGCTCAGAAGTAGGATTAAACAGTGATGCAGGCTATCACTGGGGGGATGATGACCATGTTTAGCAACTGGAAATGATCTACTCATTTCCTGCCTAGTGTTTCTTCTAATTCAGAAGGAAAACTGTAATGAAGGTCAGTGTGTTGTAAGTCAGGTTTTTAACAGTGTCTGATACTTTAGGGAAGATTCAATATACTTCTGAATGTGTGTATTTGAATCAAATCAAATAAGGTGCAGATTGTTAAACTCAGATGCAACTTGAATAAAGTTACTTTGTACAATAATGTGACTTTATCTGTATACTAAAGAAAGATAACTATACTTACCTTATATATACCCATTTTGGTTATTTCTTTGCTGTCCTTTAATTTCTGAGTACAGTTCTTTTATCTCTACTGTTTATGTTCCTTGCTTTTACTGCCTGTCCTCTTACTTTGCTGTAGACAATTTTGGAAGAAGATGTAGAAGATCCTGTGTACCAGGTAATTTCTGAAGCTGTATGGCCTTGGAGTTTCAGAAATGACTAGATATATGTTATCTTCAAACACAGCCAAAACCTTTAACAAGATGTTTTGGCATTTACTGAGAAACTTGTGAGGTTTTTACAGAAAGTAGCATATTTAGAGATTAAGCTGTAAGTGATGGCACATTATATCTGTATAGAATAGAACAGAGTATTTCGGTTGGCGTATAGAAATATTAGATTAAATATGTCATAAATATTTTCTAAAATGCAACTTGTGAGTCCAGATTTTAAGTCATCATTTTTTAATACAAACTCTAACTGGAAAGGGAGTTACTTTGAGAATAAGGAAGGTGACGTCTTGTTCTGATAGTAGTAAATTGGCATTTTATTTTTGTCTTCTATGGGGCCAGAATTTAATTCAGAGGGTGAATATTTGGAAAAAAACAACAGTGGAATTGATGTTATAACGCACTCCCTTGTTGGTGTTTGGGCTATGATTTAATAATAGATCTGAAATTTAAGTCTTGTTTCATCCAAGCAAAGTGTCTGGGAGCAAAGATGATTATCAGAAATATGTCAATATATTCATGTCTGATACCCTACTGAGTGTGAAGAAGAAAAAGATGTAATTTCATTCTCATGTTTTTGTGCTGAAACAAAATATATGATAGTTTACTTTTTTTTTTTTCTTGGAGATTTTGTGTTCTTCCACTTAGGTGTGTCAGTGGGAGGCATGCTGAAAGAAACTAATTCAACCATTAGTGAATATTGAACAGTGCCTAAGGTGCAGCAAGAAAGATGATAAGAAATAGGATGCCCTAATTTACTATTCAGCTTTTGTAATGTCAGGAGTTTTACTTAGTGCTCTTCACAATAAAGCGAGAACCTGAAAATGAGAAGTGTTGTGACAGCCTTTTGCCATGTGGGCTGTTACATGAGCACCAGCCTATTCTCCCAGTTTGGATTTAGCTTTTTTGTTCAGAGATAATAAATATATGTGGAAATAATTGCTGTTATGTAAAAGAGGCAAAATTCACGTTGACTTCAGAAAATTAATATTGGACCACAGGCGGTCTCCCTAGTGAGAAAGAATTAGGAAGTTGCTCTAATGATCGTTAGAGGAGATTTAGGTCTATTCATCGCCGGTTTATGAAATATGAAACAACCTTACTCTGCGTTTTCCAACAAACCAGTTGTCCTGCTGCCAGCCTGTACTTTGAACTTGTTTCTTTAATGCCTGCCTGTGTTTTTACGTGGAGTTCCAAATCGCCTTTTTCCCTTCTGTTTCATCTTTGACTTTTCCTCTCTGGCGGCTGGTGTAATAGTACATTGTGTTTGAGGCTGGGCACGAGCCAATCCGTGAGCCCGAAACAGAAGAAAACATTTATCAGGTATCAAATCGCTAACTTCGGTGTTTTCATTGCAACGATCGCAAGCATTTAGTAAAGTACATTTCATATATAGTTTACTTTTATTAGTTTTCATTCATCACAAAAATGTCTGGCATTTCATTCTGGTGACATGACATGAATAATCTGCCCCGTCTCAGTGTGATTTTTTTGTGTTGTTTGTCATTTCAACTTCTGCAAATTTTATTAACTTTGTCAACTTATGAAGGGTCTAAAACTTTTGAGTACACCATATAAGGTGATAAATAGGGGATTCTCTTTTTTTCCGTTAATTTTTTGAAAGTTTTTACACCTATTCTAAGAAACAGATACTGAAATCTCATGGAGGGCAGACCATCCAAGCAATTCTTACAAAGACATTTTGATGGTACTGCTCTTCTTTCTGGCTAACCAAGGAAATAACTGAGCAAAACCGAAGAGCTCTCAGTGAATATCCCCCAGACTGGGGAACATATTTTCAGAGTGCATACATTATGTTAGAGCCCAAGCTTGCATTCTTCACACTGACACAAAACTGCGTTGAAAGCAGTATAAAATAATCTTTTGTCATTCAATTTATCCTCAAGTGATCAGTACAGGGTTTATTAAAATATAATGTAGTTCATTTTTGTTTCACATACTAGAGGCAAATCTGAAGATAGACGGAAATCTCTGTATGCTGTAAGAAAATTGTGATTTGAGGAAATCATTTAGTATGGAGAGGAAGGAGATTCAAGCAGTGATTAAGCATTTCATCTAACTGTACTAGAGGTTGATCTGCTAATAGGAAAAGTTTTTTTAAGGTAGGCAGGAGCAAGGATAGAACAAAAAAAAAAAAGGGAAAGGTTTTTTTTTAAGTAAAGCGAAAAGGTAGGAAGGCAATAGAAAAAATTAAAGGATGCAGTAGCTGTAAGCCAAAATAGAAAGAAGAGGAGTGGGAAAGGGAAATTCAAGTTAAACATTGGAAAATAACCGTCTTAGACCCCATCACAGGGTCATTAAGCTGAGATTCATTTAACCTGTCTCTGTTGATTTCCTGGCACCCCCGCCACACACACTAGAATATGCATCTTTCTGCATCTCTAGACCAAGACATGCAAAGCTCTCAAGGTGAGAGTAGGCCTAAGGTTGAAAATTTTCTACCGCATAATGTTGAAAGTTCGACTATTTTCAGGAAAGCAATCTGTTAAAAAAGTAGTACTCTGGTTGTCAGTTTTATGCTGGAAATAAAAATCCCATGACAACTGCATTCAAACAAACAAATTCTGATTGTTGTTCATCGAAGTGCTTAGCTTTTAGTGACATTTTAGAGAAGTACCAATGGAAACGAGCAAAATGGGGTCATCGCTCTCAGTGTTTGGAGATCTTAGAGCAAACTTCGGCGGGTGGAGAAGTAGGAACTGTGTTCTTAGGAATGGCCTAAAGAACAGTAGGAGTCTTCGGAAAGTTTCTCTTTCTTAAAATGGAAATAGAAGATGATTAGCCGATAGTGAGATCCTGCATCATCTTGAGGTACTGCTGTTACTGTCCTGTAAGTCACCAGAGTTGCTCAAGACTTCATTTGACGGTATCTGGATGTGATGAAGTGTTTCCTCCCACAGTGGTGCACAGAAAATACCTGTGATTAATATGCCATACTCTCAGTATATGCAGTCTAGCATTGTCCTTCTCTATATTTACGACAGGCAATACTTTGAATACAGCAAATGCTGAGATGAGGGAGCTAGGAGTCTTTTTCTGTTATCTATTGTAATTGACAGATGCTGAAGTATCACTACCATAGACTTGCGCAGAGCTGCAACCTCCTAGATCCCGTGGACTTCATGAGCTCTTGGCTTGCTATGAATCTGGGTTCCCTCAGCTCAGATCTCACACACAGATCACTGGCAAAATTGTTTTTCTTACAAGATCTTGATGATCTCGGAACCATCCAGGCTACTATTAAAAATGAGATTAGAAAAGGTCCCTTTGTTGTCTTTTTTGTTTGGTGGGGGTTTTTTTAGTTTCATGCAAATTGGTGCCAGCTTCTATTATTTACTAAAAAACCTTTCTGATACTACACTTTGGTAAACATGCATCTGCTCAGTAACCGCATGCATCCTCGCTTCAGCCTCACCAAGTCTTTCTTGTGATTCTGCTCTGTTTTTTCAACTGAGAGTTGGTATGCAAAGAATTCTCTTCTCCCTTGGTGGAAAAGATTCATCCCCAGCAGGTAACTGGAGATGGAAGATAGGTGCAGACAGTGAGGATTTCTGTTTCTTTTTGACATAGTTGAGGTCACAGTTTTCTTTTTAAGCATTCTTTCTCTGTCTGTCTTCTTTCTTTGATACATTACCCCAAAGACTATCTGTGTCTGTCTGCTCTTTTATTGTCTGTCATCTTTCTTTGATACATTACCCTAAAGACTATCTGTGTCTGTCTGCTCTTTTAATATTTTCTGTCTGTGTGAGTTACTCTAATGTGTTAGTTAGGCAAGGACTTGGTCACTGGGCATGTACCAATCCTCTCACCTAGTGTTAGATTTCTTAATAGCATCTCTTTTCCTGCCTCTTGTTTTAGTGAGGTGGGGATGGGATTTTGTTAAGTGGGTTTGTATTGTGTATGTAGCAGCAGTGGCCTCTATGGAGAGGCAAGTTCTGCTCCGTGAGGAGCTGACAGTCTGAGATGGGGGTTTCTCAGTTGCGGTGCTTGTATTGCTGATAAGATGCAAGTACATCAAAATGATTCCCAGCCTGTCACAGAGATAGAGCCGTCAGCAGCAATAGTGCTGGTACCTCTTTGCTGATATTACTAATAAAAGAAAAAACAGGAGAAATCCTTTGCAGACCCCCAGTCTAAGTAGCGATGCAAAAAAATGTGCTGATACATGGCAGGTAAAGACAACAAGAAGACAGGCAGTATCGAGTTCTGAAAGAAAAATGTCTTTCAGAAAAGTTTCTCTGTCTTGATATTAGAAGTCAGGAGCTTTTCTCTGATGTGAATATAAGCTGGAGTAAAAAAGGAGGGGGGATCGATAGTGCAAAGAAATGCTCATTCCACAATAAGCTGTGGATAGGAGTGTGCAAATTGGGATGACTTCATTAAGAAGTTGGAAGGAGGAAAAGAAGAATGACTGAAGAGGAAACTTTCCGGAGAGAAAAGAAAAATCCACCCTGACGATACTTTATAAATAGTTTATCTTGCCACATTTGTTCTCTTTTTATGAAGACTAGGCTTTCCAGTGACTTACTAAATAAACCATTCTTGGTTTCTGCTCTTGCACTGTCACTTAAAGCTCTCTCTCTGTACAGACCATTATTTCCATGAAATTGAATCGTTCCACTGTTACTAGTTTCACATATCTAATGTGATAGGCAGTTTTAGTGGAAGTGGCCAGTACTTTGAGAAAACCAAGGCAAGCAAGTAATTCCCGGGACAGGAATAGAAGAGATCTTTTAAAAAAACTCGTTCAGTTTCTGTGAGGGTTCTGCACTCATGCTCTTGACAAATTTCTTCCAGGTTAAAGATGCACGGTCTCCTGTGAAGACTTTGATGTTTAATCATGGGCAAGGGAATGTTTGAACAATAGAGAGAGGTTTTGATACAGAATAAGAAATTATAGCGCATCTCAATGAATAAATAACATTCCTTCAGCTTCCCTTAAACCAGTCTTACTCTAATGTCAGAACTCTGAGATATTTATTGTCTTAGAAAGCAAAATGGTAATCATTATGTCTTATCTGCAATATTATTTCTGCTATTACTTGTGAGGTTTCATTAATGTCTGAAATGTTACCTTCTTATGTTGAATGCCCTTGTTCAGTGGAAAGTAGCACTGATGAACTTAGAGCATTCGTACCAGTTTAGAGCATGTTTTTACTGTTCCTTTTGCTTGTGTCATTTACAATAGACATTCAGTGCTTCCAGGAAGGAAAAGAAATATAATCACAAATTACAATATGTAAACCAGCAGTCCTTAGGCAAGCAAAGCCCAGTATTACAAAGCAACCGAATTTAGATGAGCAGGTTATAAATGCCCAAGGCGTAAATCACGACTGTTGGCTCAACTAAAGACTCGCCCAGAGTTTTTCAAGTATGTCGTCCCCTGTCCATGCAAGGCTGTTGACTTCAGCTCCGTGGCAGTGTCAGACTCTGACAGGCCGGTGATTCCTTAGTAAAACTGCAACATTGGAACCCAACATCACTTAGAGCAGCTGCAGGGCCCCATCACTGCCGGGGTACATGTTATGACTTTACTTGACTTAGATTATTAGATGAATTGGAAGAAAGAAATCTAACGCCATAGGCCAAACATCTCTTT